AGTTTCAGGCCCTGAAACGCACGTTTATGCATGTCTCAGATCTTTCCCCAACTTATTTTGATTTTAAAAAAAGCAATTAATAAAGTACTTGGTTTTTTTAAATCAAAATTAGGTGGGGTAAGACCTGATACATGCATAAACATGCGTTTCAGGGCCTGAATGCATGTTTATTCATGTCTCAGGTCTTCCTCCACCATATTTTGATTTAAAAAAATACTTTATAAATTGGTTTTTTAATCAAAATATGGTGGGGGAAGATTTAAGACATGCATAAACGTGCGTTTCAGGCCCTGAAACGCACGTTTATGCATGTCTCAGGTCTTGCCCCATCATTTTTTGATAAAAAACCAATTTATAAATTAATTGGTTTTTTAAATCAAAATATGGTTGGGGGAGACTTGAGACATGCATAAATGTGCGTTTCAGGGCCTGAAACGCACGTTTATGCATGTCTCAGGTCTTCCCTGGCCATGTTTTGATTTAAAAACTAATTACCTGAGAAATAGTTTTTTTAAATCAATCTATGGTGGTAGAAGACCTGAGACATACATAAACGTGCGTTTCAGAGCCTGAAACGCACGTTTATGCATGTCTCAGGTCTTCCCCCAACATATTTTGATAAAAAACCAATTACTTTATAAATTAGTTTTTTTAATCAAAATATGGTGGGGGAAGATTTGAGACATGCATAAACGTGCGTTTCAGGCCCTGAAACGCACGTTTATGCATTTCTCAGGTCTTCCCTCACCATATTTTGATAAAAAAACAATTTATAAAGTATTTGGTTTTTTTTATCAAAATATGTTGGGGGAAGACCTGAGACATGCATAAACGTGCGTTTCAGGCTTTGAAACGCACGGTTATGCATGTATCAGGTCTTCCCCCATCATTTTTTGATAAAAAACCAATTTATAAATTAATTGGTTTTTTAGATCAAAATATGGTTGGGGGTTACTTGAGACATGCATAAATGTACGTTTCAGGGCCTGAAACGCACGTTTATGCATGTGTCAGGTCTTCCCTCACCATGCTTTGATTTAAAAACCACTTACCTTAGAAATTGGTTTTTTTTATCAAGCTATGGTGGTAGAAGACCTGAGACATGCATGAACGTGCGTTTCGGGCCCTGAAATACACGTTTTTGAATGTCCCACATCTTCTCCCACCATTTTTTGATTAAAAAAACCAATTACTTTTTAAATTGGTTTTTTTAATCAAAATATAGTGGGGGAAGACTTGAGACTTGCATAAACGTGCGTTTCAGGCCCTGAAACGCACGTTTATGCATGTCTCAGATCTCCCCC